GTCATGCTTAAGTATATGGAAGAAAACAGAAATTATCCCATGCACATTATCTGACCACAGTGCAATGAAACTGGAAATAAATGACAAAAGAAACCAGAAATGAAGTCAATACCAGTAGGCCAAGTGATATTCCATAATTAGACATACAAATTAATTTAACCTCTCATTAAAAGATCCATGTGCACAAGGATATCGTGTGTCTTGTTTGCCATGGTATTGGAAATTCCTACAACATGAAGATAATTAATGTTAACACATGATGAGTTAACCCCATGTGAAGAGGAGAATAGACTCACACAACTTGAACTACTTAGGAAGAACAAGTCGACCTCTCCCTGCAAGCAGTGAAGAGCAGAGAGAGCCTGGAGTCGCTGACCATGAGCACAAAGGGGCTGAACGCCGGGAAGCATGAGGCCACAAACACAGAGCCGTTCACTAACCACTGGCCGCGATTTGATACTAGAGTCGTCCAGATTGTCAAAATAGTATAGAATGAATAAAAGGTAGCGAAGGAGCTCACCAGGACCAGGATGGTGCGTGTGGCTCTGGCCTCGTGGGAAGGTCTCGGGGAGAGGCTGTGGCTGCGGATGTGCTGGACGCGCTGCCTGTGCCTGTGCAGGGCCAGGACCATGGAGCCGCTGGCCCATATCATGAAGCCTACACTGATAAAGTCAAGGGAAAAATATAAGAGTGTATATAGCAAGCTATGCTTCTCTGGCATTGTCCAGGAGCACTGTCCACAGCTGGTTCTCACACTCGCATTTCTGCAACTCAATGGACCCCTCACTATCATAGCAATATATGAATTTACTGAGAGATTCGGAATCCAGCATAGGAAACAGCAGAAGCCAATGAACCCTTGGGATTGAAGCTTGAGCTCCATCCACCTACAAATGCTGGGGTTGAGCTTAAGGGCCTGGAAGCCATTGAGAAGGCAGACAGTGCAGAAGGACAGTCCAGTGCCCACTCTGTAAAAGTAAAAGACAAGTTTACACCCAGCACTGTCCAGGAAATACTTCCACCCAAAAGCCACGACTGTTTGAGATATCCCTTTGGAGAGCAGGACTAATGAGTTGGCTAAGACCAGTTGGTTGAGAATGATGTCTGTGTGTCTCAACTTATATCCAGTGAGCAGACAGAAGCTGTAAAAACAAAACAGGGAAGAGTTTCCCAAGATCCCAATCCCCGTTTGAGCAAGGAAGATAATCCCCAAATCTAAGTTTCCTGCAGCCATTGCATCGAAATCTAGGGCGTGGTGACTTCATAGGAACCAGTAGCAAAGGCAGAACAATAAATGAGTTCACACCGAGATGGATAGCACTGGCCTGCGCGTGTCCTAACTCACATTTTCTCCCCGTAATTGGACATACCGGCCTTATGCTGATTTTCACAAAGGCTGTCTTGGAAGAACTGCGCTGGGAAGAGCTCAGCGTCCACCTCCAGTTTCTTGGTTAATAAGGAAGAGCACAGGGTTCTGTGCAGCAGCCGACATGAGTGGAGGTCTGCGTCCTCATCCAGTCAGTGTGCTTCCATCATTTCTCCAGACGTTACTGTGAATTTAGAAGTCCCTTTGAGCTCACAGCACAGTTTAATCTGCTTATAGCTGTTTTCTTTGTAAGCAAGGCTGGGTGAATGGAGATTTCACTCAGCTGAAATCTGCAAACCATCAATATGAAATCCACACAAGCCCAGAACTCAGACATCAGCACCTACCACGCTTCCTCTCATGGTACAAGCTGAACCCACCACTCGGAGCTGTACGTCCGTGGGTCTGACTGTAGGCAAGCTCCTGCCACCCCTTCCCCTTGGCCCCTGAGCTACAGGGCTCGCACTGTCCACTTCTGAAAGCAGTTTCCAGGCTTTCTAAGGTGCCATAGTGGTTGTCTCTTTTAGATTTTCACACGCCTATCATGTGTATGTCTGTGTTGGCATCTCAATACTCTGAGCTGTACAGTTTAGAAGTTCACTGATGAGCTTTCAGGTCCTGGGGTTCCCCCGTGCAGTGCGCGCTGCTCTCCGTAGCTCTTGGGAACGCGGGTCCTGCACGACGCCAGGGGCAACTCACGGGATTTCCTCCAAGATACAGTCCTAAATGAAAGACCGTGACCCCCACAAAACATGTGTTCTTATTTTTTCAGTAGCACAGAAGGGGATACATTTAGGAACAGATATTTGGCAGTTTAGAAAAAAGGAATAAAAATGTACAATAAATATTTATAGTTTTGCATTGATATAAATGTAACAACTTCCAATAATGTTTAAACAATATTGAATAAACATGAATTTTTTTAAGTCCACGGATTTTTTTAAATGTTACCTTTCTTAATAAAAAGTCCATGTTGATTTTTGTGTTCATGTGATCATCATTCCAGAATAACAATGTTGAGACTGTACATGGCTTCAAAACCCACACAACACAGGCAGACACACACCCCTAAAGGTAAGTAAAATTAGTGATATCTGAATCATAGTAAATAATGACATTGTCATTATTCTGTTTAGATTTTTTCCTGTGTGTATTTTTATAAGGCCACCTGGGATAGAACCCAGAGACCCACACAGACTCTGCAAGTGCTACATCCCTGAGCTACATCCCCAAATGTTATTTTTTATTCATAACATAGTTTTGCACAACTATGCCAGAGATTAAACTGATTAAAATACATGTGGGATCTCTCTGTTGTCGTTCAAACAGCAGCATGTGGAACACCAGTTGCTACTATCAAAACCTTAATTTCAATCCAAGGAAGGCTGGGGGTGTAGAGAACTTTAAACGTATGTATGAGAGGAAGCATTGATGAAGGCAATGGAGAAAGAAGCCAATGAACCATAAGGGTTATATACAGTGAGGAGGAGAAAGTACCTGAGAACTCTTCTTAGAGTCAGCCTCAAGTTTTGGTAAGTACTTTGTTCCAATTGATTAGTGGAGGCCACTTGAAGATATACACGTAAGTGAAATAAACCAGACCCGCATGTGTAAATATCAGAGAGTCTCCCCAGTGTAAGAGCTCAAAGAGGAAACAAAAATAGAAAAAGAAAATAGTGAGCTAGTACTTAAAATGCATCCACATTGCACTAAGATGAGTCATTTAACACAACCAGTTGTGAACTTTAAGCCTATGAAAGATGAGGATTGTCTATAATAAGTGAGAAAATCTTAGCCCAATATAAAATTCATAGACATGTTTCTCCAAGTAGGTATGTCCTTTAGGGATTCCAGTCTAAGTGATATTAGTTCTGACTTTTCTCAAGTATTAAAAGTATCACAGTGGTACAAATAGATAAAAAGGAATCAAGACACTGAAAATCCGAGGGAGCTTTATGCTGAAAATGGAGAAGAAGGAATCAAGTCAGCGGCATGAACCGAGAGTCTGAATAACACACACGATGTTTCCAGGTAAATGTGATCAAGTTCTGGAGAACTCGTTGATTACAGAGTGAAAACTGGAGACATCTGTCACAGAAACAACAAGTTGCTATTCAAAATACCTGTGTTTTGATCTCATGATTACAATTGATAACATTGGATCTAAGATGTAAAAAGGACAGATCTCTTGGAAAACACTGGGTTGTATTTTTACAAACTAAGTTTGGAAATCTTCACTCTGTATGGTCCAAACTATTGACTTTTTGTAATAATAAATGCTAAGCATTTTATTAAGCATACTAAAGTTAATGTAAAATATTTAATGATATACAATGTATGATAGGAACTAGAAGCATTAGTCTGAGAAAATTTACTACTAAGAGAATTAGTAGATGAAAAACAAATGATGGAAAATATATGAGCAGCCACTATTTAGCAGTTATATTTATGTGCTTAAGAATAAGCTTGTGGGGCTGGGGAGATGGCTCAGTGGAATAAGCGCTTCCCTGGCAAGTGCAAAGGCCTGAGTTCAATCCCTGGTTCCACGAAAAAAAAAAAAAAATAAGAATAAGCTTGTGGAACAATGAATGTAACAATTCCATTAAAGTCATACAAGATGTGGTATTATTTAAAATCCAACATATATTAAGAAAACCAAATATTATGGTTTATAGTTTTGAAATATAAAATTTAAATTTTGTTCTTGTCACAAAACAAAATACATTAAATAGTATTTAAAAATTAGAATATATCGAAAAGGTATAGGGCTGGATACAGCTCCGTGGCACCAGTGCCTGCCTGGCAAGTGCGAGGTTCTGAGTTAGATTCCTGACCCCAAAAGTAATGAGATATGAACTAGACATTATTTTCAGTATTTTTATGCAAAAATGCACACATACACTTCATTTAAAAACATATTTAGTCCTACTACTGTATTGTATGTTAGTAGCCTTTCTCAAGAGTCTGAAAGTTGTGATATTTTCAGAGATGTGTGATTTAGATAAGGGAAGACCTAAGTGTGTTGTAGTCTCATTTCAGTTGTGTTAGCATTACGCAGCTCTAGTCATTCACAGAGAGGGTGAGGGGACACACGTGCCAGTTATGTGGCCGGCCCTGAGCGTGGGCTGGAGGCCCCAACTCAGCGCAAGCATTCCTGGCTATGCTGCATCCCAGGACTTTGCACCAGGACAGAGGTGCTCACGGAGCCGACGTCCAGCAGAGAGCCTGCGAGCTCCTGGGGAAACTGCCCCTGGAGCAGCCACCCCAGGGCTGGCGCCGGGACTTCTGCAGGCTGCGGACCGCAGAAGGCGGGTCCCGGGGTCATGCGCTGCGCCTTAACTTCGCGCACCAGGGAGTGCCGGCTCTTGTAGAAGTATAATTTTATCGCACCACTTAGGTACAAATATGTAAGAAACAAATAGTGTAATGAACAAAGGAAATAGGCAGAAAAGCGTAAATAAAGAGTAGAAAAGAGGTGGGATGACAGCAGGATCAGGTATATCTCAGGAGGTGTCACCAAACGCGCTAAGCAGCCAACACCGTGTCAGGAGAGCTCTCCCGGGAAGTAGTGATGTTTGCGCAGAGCAGAGAGCTGTGCCGTGCTCACCTGGGGCGTCACTGAGCGCCACGACCTCCGGGGCTTCGCAGCAATCAAGGCTCTTGCGTTCCTGGACCCGGATGTGCTTTGGGCACCCTCACGCTCACAGAGTGGAGGTGAACCTGGTTTACCTGACCTGGGAGCGGGAGAAGTTTTGCTTTTCCTTTTGAAATGAATTATAATTCACTTGGGTTGGATATATGTGCTTAAGCCATTCTAGAAAGAACTAAATGGACATGGGGAGAGATGGAGATGAGACAGACGAGAGAGAGAGAGAGAGAGAGAGAGAGAG